ATAGCGAACGAACTTCAACCAGGACGTGATTGAGCCATGCGAACGAGTTCATCTTGAAAATGAACGAGCATTTGACATAAAACCACATTAGGACAAGACGACGTCTGTCGGGCCAGCTAGTATTGTTATAAAACTGTTGTCAGAAATAAAAGTGAGAAGAACATATGTTAATTTTGTAAACAGTCAATAAGTTTGCTAATTTAACAGTTAGTTTGCTACAAACATTTACTTACTTGATTGAAATGAAATAGTTACTATTTGAATTTGGTTGGCGTAAATATTACAATGGCAAAAAGCGAGAGAGCCTGGATAAATATATATATACTAAAATGAAAACTGAATTAACACTGTACTTTTTTTCTTGGTAATCATTGAAAGGGCCGATTTGCCAACTATGGAAACATAGGAAAATCATAGAACACCACTAAGGAGGAGAAATAGAAATAATGTTTTGTTTTAAGAAATTATAATCGTTATTATGGACAACCTAATGCGGCTATAAGGAAGGCATAGGAAATATTTGTAGAAAACACAAAAAACAAGATCAGCTTTTGAAAAATGATAAGATATTTACAAGAAATGTTGATTATATCAATCTGTTAGGTACATCTTGAGTATTTCCATAATCTTTGAGTTGAATCTTTTAAAGTAGTTAGAAATTATGACTGTTATTCGTTTTAAAATAATGCCTGTAATACTTAGCAATTGCTCGAATTCGAGCAACAGGGACACTAGTTTGTTGTTAATATCTGTACTTGTTAAATTACGTTGATTGTTATTTTTGTTTCAATTCAATTTCATTGCTGTTGTTATTTTGTGTTGCAATGCTGTTTTGGTCAATGTTTGACGAACTTCTTTTGTTATTTGTAGTGCAATTAGATAATTTCTTTCTACTCTTGTTCCTAAACATATTAACTTGTAAATGGTCTATCTGTTGATATAAATAAATAAATAAATAACGCATTAACCAGTCAGTAAGTCCACAACGTTAATGGAATTACTAGGTGAAACCCGTCAAAATCGACGGTTACTGTTGGTTGAGGCTTCAAGTAAAATCATTTTACTATCAATCGATGATAAATAACTTCATTTAACTTCATCATACTAAATTTTTATCAAAATCGTTCTGGCCGTTTTTGGGGAAATCCTATTTTCCCGTTATTTTATGGGGTTTTATGGGAAAATCCCCATTAAAAATCAAAATTTCTAAAAAATTGAAAAAACTATCAAAATTGTAAGGACCATAACATACTATGTTAAATAAAAACCGGATTTTTTTCTAAAATCCTATTTTTTGTTATTTTATGGGGTTTTTATGGGAAAATAACATAATTTACCATAACTTTCGAACCGTAATTTTTAGAGAAATGGGATTTGTACCATTTTTTTCAGAATTTAAAGGGCTACAACATACTGATTTATCAAAATCGTTCAGGCCATTATTGAGAAAATTCAATTTTTCCGGTTTTTTATGGGTTTTTATGGGAAAATCCCCATTAAAAATCAAAATTTAACAAAAATGAAAAAAAACGCCTGGATGGATGTATATTTTTAGTATGTTGATTAGAAGCATACTACCTACCATTCACAGCAAGAATAATTTATGTTGCAATTAGTTCCACCTTAAGCTATATTTTCAATTATTTCTATGGCACTATAAGGTTAACATGGGGAATTACAGAGCCACTGGGGCGGAGCCCGAAAGAATTTTTAAGATAAGAATATGCCTATATGTTAATCGGGAATGTGAGCTATCATCATGCCAAATTTCAGCCCAATCCGCCCAGTGGTTTATGCGTGATTGAACTTCAAACAAACAATCAAACAAAGAAACAAACACACAAACTTTCACATTTATAATATTAGTAAGATTACGAAATTAAATTAATACCAATAAATATTTTCATCCCTAATCAACATATCCTTTAGGTAAACAACCAGTATGTTAACCTAAACTTGAAATATGTTCTGACGCTTTTGTAGTTCTTAGGCCGGTCTCACACAGAACCAGGCAAGGCGGGGCGCGACAGGGCATTTTGCCCCGGGGTGTCTTGTGCAACGGGTATTGCACGGGCGCTTATGGAGCTCCACACACAGGACCGGGCGAGGCAGGGCACGTCTAAAAGACGCCCCCGGGCGCTCTCAGGGCAAAATGCGAAGGTCTCCAAAATTATGCCCCGAGGCAAGTCGCTGCCGGGCAGAACTGCGGTCATGTGATTTATTCCCTTACGGGCTAATTTTGATAAGGATTATTTTACAACTGATACAATTTACATACAACACTAACAATTTATACGACCAAAGATGCCTTTGATAAGACTATGCAGTGATGATATTACTACAGTGGTTGAATAACTAATAATTTATCTTGGTATTGATAACTGAGGAAAGAGAGGACCATCGTTCATATCTTAAGGGTTCAAAAACCACTCCTCTGGAGGTATGACTTTGAATTTTAGTGCAGTAAAAATAAGAGAAAAATTCCATAAACCTAAAAAAAATTAGCACAACCGGGGAGTTTGGTACAGATGTTGGGTGTACCTTCCTTTTGAACATACTAAAAGTCCCCTAAAATTGAAGCTGTGCTACGGCCGCCATATTGGAAAATGGCGGCATATTTCTGTATTATTCGCTATAGTGACTTTGTTATTAGAGATACAGGAAAAAGCTAAATATACAAAATGTAGGTCATCTAAAAATACACATTATTTGTATTTACCATCTTTCTCTAAACCCAACGGTTTTTGAGTTATTTGTTATTAAGTATATTTAGTTTTTTCTATTTATCAAAAATAGGTGAAACACATGGAAATTTACCGTTATTTTCAAGGATTATGATAATTTATCCCATTTAGTTAAATAGTGTGATACTATAAAATCTCAAAATTTAAGCTTATTTTATGAGTAAAACAACTCTGCCACAGCAAACCTGCAGACTCAGCAAATTTCCATTTGATTGGGTGTTTTATTAATTGTATTTAAATAAAATAAGATTCAACAGGTACCTAGGTTTGCTGCTACAGGTAGTTTATTATAGTGTGTTTTTTTAGTAAAATATAAATAACTTAGTATAAAATAATTAATTTTTCCAAGTTTGATCATAATAAATCTATAAACAAACAAACTGCAACATTTAACTAATTCATAATAATAGCATGGTAGCTACAATTTACAAATTTAAATATACAAATTTAGGTTGTGTTAACTAAAAATATGGCGATTATTCGTCACGATTCGAATACTAACCGAAGGGGTTTTCAAAAGGAGATGAAGCAAGTAATTTAAGTACTATAATATTAACTCGTACCAAGTATCGGAAATATTGTGTATGGAAATCAACCATATTTTGTAATCTACGCAATAGTCATATTAATATTTTATACTCATTTTTACCCATTTAATAAATTAACATTTTAATATTTTGATGGCACTACCACTATGACTCTGATATCAACTAAGTGGAATGAATAATTGTCGTAAACCTTGAAAGTAACCATCGATTGCGATGGTTTTCACCGATTTTTGATAAATAAAACTAACTATACTATACCATACTTAATTAGTCACCAACATGAACTAGACAAGAAAAACACCCTTCCAAATTTACAATGGGATGTCAAGTATAGTTAGTTAGGGTGGTGGTGCCATCAAAATACTAAAATGTTAACTATTAAATGGGTAAAAAAAATTAAGATAAAATATTAATATCACTATTGCGTACTTTACAAAATATAGTATATTACCTTACTGCATACAATATTTTCGGTGTTTGGTACGAATTAATATTGCTTAAATAACAGGCTCCATCTCCTTTTGAAAACCCATTTGGTGAATATTCTAATCGTGACGAATAATCGCCATCTTTTTAGTAAACACAACCAAAATTTGTATATTCAAATTTGTTTATTGTAAATTTAAAACTCCCATGCTATTCTTATGGTTTAGGTAGTTAACTGTTGCAGTTTGCTTGTTTATAGATATATTTTGATCAAACTTGGAAAATTAGTTATTTTATAGTAAGGATATTTTACTAAAAAAAAAACACACTATAATAACATACCTGTAGCAGCAAACCTAGGTACCTGCTGAACCTAATTTTATTTATATACATTTTTTAATAAAACATCCAATCAAATGGAAATTTGCTGAGTCTGCAGGTTTGCTGTGGCGGAGTTGTTTTACTCATAAAATAAGCTTAAATTTTTAGATTTTATAGTATCACACTATTTAACTAAATAGGACAAATTATCATAATCCTTGAAAGTAACAGTCAATTTTCATGTGTTTTACCTATTTTTGATAAATAGAAAAAACTAAATATACTTAATAACAAATAACTGAAAAACCGTTGGATTTAGAGAAAGATGGTAAATACAAAAAATGTGTATTTTTAGATGACCTACATTTTGTACATTTAGTTTTTCCTGTATCTCTAATAATAAAGTCACCATAGCGAAAAATACAGAAATATGCCGCCTTTTCCAATATGGCGGCCGTAACACAGCTTCAATTTTAGGGGACTTTTAGTATGTTCAAAAGGAAGGTACACCCAACATCTGTACCAAATTCCCCGGTTGTGCTAATTTTTTTTGGGTCAAAACATATTTATACTGTACTATTTTGTTTTCTATGCTGCTCCCAAGTAGAAAGTCAAATTTAAAAGTTGGCTAAATCGGCTCAAGGCTCAGGAATAAAAAAATCCTATATTAATTTTCAGGTTTATGGGGGCTAAACTTTTTACTTGACGTGCCCTGCCTCATTCTGTGTGTGACAGCAACAAGACAGGGCTTAAGTCAGGCGTCTCGTCGTGCCCTGTCGCGCCCCGACCCGCCTGATTCTGTGTGTGGCTGGCCTTAGACTAACAGACCATCTATCAGGAGATGGGACTCAATTTGAATTAACTGCATCAATAAGGATAGCTTGGTATGTTTTAGTTGTTGAGAAGACTGACTCTTCTTTTCTAAAGATTGCAATAACAACTCAGTGCCTTATTTGTGCAGATTACTGGAATGTGACGTGGTGTCTAGCAATGTTGGGGAGTTTGGTGTCTATGACCTCATACATAACAGCTCCAACTGCACTCTAGTCACAGCCGTCCCTTCTGTGAATATCACGTACTGTATGTGATGGATTGGATAGAATAGCTTAAGTTATATTATTGATGGTTGTAAAAACAAATACTAACTAGTCCAGGCAACGAAGACAAAAAAAATACCAAATGGAGCCTACAAATTGTTTAAATCTATTTCCAAATTGCTTGTATATATATTTGTAAAAATCCCTTTTTTATTTTGGGCAATAACAAAATCAAATTTATGAAAAATTTATCCCAGGTATTTCAAAAATCAGTTTACCGAGTAAGTGTATTTGTTAATAAATCAATTTTATTTATATTACTGTATATATAATCTTATTGAAACTGAATTTACACTACACATATAGGTTGTAAACTTAAAAGAATCAAAATTCTTTCCACTAACTTCAATGCATTTTTCACAGTGGGTTTTTACATTTGCAACAATCTTTTTGCACAAATTTTTATTGTTGTTTAAGGCTTCTAACTATCTTGCGAATTGATTGGCCCCAAAGATCCTGCGATCATACACCGTTAGACTTTTCTGTTTGGGGATCATGTTTACTATGCAAAAGTAATGCTAACCATAACTTTTTAGGATTTTACCGACGTAAACAAACAAAGATTTGTTATTGTTTTGTCAACTGTTTCAATTTTCAACAACCAAAACTGTACAACCAAACTAACAAAACTGTACAACCAAACTAATATTAACTTTACTATGAAGGTATAACCTAAAAAATACAATGAGTTTTGTGATGTTTCTAGCTGTAATAAATAAATATCCAATGTCTGTTTTGATTAAGAAAATAATTAGTCTTTGTCTTTGAAGTGTAGCGAAAAGTAACCGTCAAAACACGAGTGAAAGCGGGTCTAAACATATTCTCACCATTTAAAGTGCTCGATAAATGTTGTACTTCAAACATGGTTTCAAATATGTAACCATGACCCACTTTCTACTCTTGTTATGAAATATATTATTTCCTTCTTAGCCAGAACAATTAATTCAAGGTCAAAGACAGATTGACATCACACTCTTCAACAATCATATAACATGGAGAAAATTGTGAGAAGTCATGGTAAATTACCCTCTCACCTCAAGGATGTGAATATTTCTCAATCTTAAGTATCAAAAGTATTTATTTATGCTAAAAGGTTATTTAAAAGCTAAGGGCCATTAAGTGTTTCATAACGTTTAGCTGATGGTTATTTAGTAAAAATAAATTAAACTGTAAGATATTTTTACCAAGTTTTAACAAATATTTAGAGAAAATGTATATTTATATTTAAAAAGCTGTCCTGTAGAATTTTAACATTTCCGATTGAAATGCTTTCTTTTCAGGAAGGAAATTTACTCTTGTAAAGCAGTGAACAAATAAAAGTCTTTAAAAATGTCTGAAATATTTCAGCAATAGCAATACATAAAACGTTAAAATATAGGAGCATCAATGTAAATTTTCTACATAAAATCATAGATAGTCTTTTTAAATTAATTTTAACCAAAACATATACCTATACATGTTTTGTGAATAATGATAAATCAATTCAAACTAAAAGCACTAAAAATGTAAACTGAAAGCATTGATGTACTATGGATAAACAATATTTTTCGCAAATCGCATGTGAAACTAGCACCATTTTGCACAAATAAACTTTTATCTGTAAAAGGTTATTTTTAAAGTCTGGGCCTTAAGGGCAAAGTCTGCATGAAATTTTTATCGATTTCAACAAAAAATTTGTTTCTTTTAGTTTTAAGAATTTGCTAATATGTTAGTAAAAAGGTTTAAATATCTTCTATTACGCAATCCATTCAATTGCAGTCGCAACTAGTTTCGGATCATATATTGATCCATCATCAGGCGGTACTTACAAGGGCTTCCTATCTTCATATGAAGAGCGTCACATTCAACACATAAATAGATGAACATTTACACGACACGATACGAACACGGAAAAACATTTATGATAGGTAACTAATCAGTTGTAACATACGACGCTAACCCGGTGGTGTTTGTGTCCAAATCTGTATCTCATTGTGATATCATTGTCGTAGCATTTGACATAAAACCACATTAGGACAGGACGACGTCTGTCGGGCCAGCTAGTATGTAAACAAGCATTGCTTATATCAAGAGAACAAAAGGATTTACCTCCACTCATTGTAGAAAAAATGTCTTCAATCCTCGGAATTGGGTGTTTCTTGTCTTTCACCACTTTGTTCAGAGTAACTTTGAAATCAGCGCAGATACGAATGTCACCATTGGGTTTTATGACAGGCACAATAGGCGTTCCCATTCCGAGTTGTCTACCTTGGTGATAGTCTTTTGGGTTTCCAGACGGCTGAGTTCATTTTCAACTTTTCTCCTTATTGCATATGGAACCTGTCTGGCCCTTATGTATATAGGGCTTGAGTTGTCCTTCAAGTTAAGTTTTGCTTCAAAGTTTTGGAATAGACCCTATGTTTTTGTCAAATAAACCTTCATTCATTCCTTGCATTATTTTGCAAGTAATGAATCCAGATTCGGCTTCCTTGTTTTATTCATGTTTATAGATTTTATTTCTCCCCAGTCTAGTCTTATTTCTCTCATCCATTCACGCTCAAAAATCCTGTCGACATGCTGATTAATGACAAAGATTTTTCCCATGAAACACTGACCCTATAGTCGCATTGTACGTATGTTACCCCCTTAGGTTTTATGATTTCCCCTGTGTAGGTGCGCAGCTCTACACCAGTCTTGTAAAGTCTTTTGGAAGGAATTAGTCTTTTGTAGTCTTCATAAGAAATCAATGTAAGTGATGATCCAGTATCCAACTCAAAAGTAAAGTTTTTACCTTCAAATTTTATATCAATGTGAAATTTGCCATCTCTTTTTTGTCAGACAGTCTTGAGAAATGTCATTATTTTCAGTAATGAACTTGTCCTTTACTGTTTTTATGTTTACTAAGGCATACTCTTGAAATATGTCCGATCTTTCCACACGTGTTACAGGTTTCATCAATTATTAGACAAGCATTCCCCTTTCAGTGACTCAAAATCTTTTGTAAGAAATTTACTACCGGTACTTGTATAAGATCCCGTGTCGTATGATTTTGTTCTAGATCTGTGGATTTGTTCATTGGATTTAATATTATTTCTAGCATTAAACTTTACTTGATTTATGTCTAAGTTTCTATTTTTTTGATACATCAAAGTACTTTCGAATTTTTAAAGTTCCATCGTAGTAGCTGTATTAATAATTTCTACAAATTGTTTGTGGTCACATTTCTGTAAAAGCTGAGTTTTAATGTCTTTGTCATTAACCCTCCGAGTGTCCCTTGTTTTGGCCTTAATGTCTGCCTATTTTTTGCTCATTTGCAAGGTTTTATTAAAACGGATCTGAGAAGCTTAAAAACAATGTTAATTATACTGTTCTATATACCATTTTGTTTGGAAAATCATGGGCTTCAATATTATATATAAAACATAAGGAACATTTGTTAAAAAAAATTTTTAGGTAAAAAAAAATATTTTGAAGAAAAAAAAAACGTTCGCGCTCAATGAAATTGTATAAATTGTAGGCCTATAAATATTTGAAAATAGCCACTTAGTTCTAAATTTTATGAGGATTACAAATATATAATCATATAGTGAGGTAAGTTATCAAATAAATAAGTTATGAGTGAAAAACAGATGTCAGTACATAGCGCTTAGCTAAGAATGCATAGCCTAACCATAGCTAGGAATCTGGCTGATAATTTACATCAATATCACTACCTACTTCTTCAGGATCATCAACCAGCCCTTCAAAATCACTTAAATCTTCTTATAATGCACCACGTATATCACTACTTTTGATTTTTAACACTAAAACAATGATAAACGTACTAAAACACATCAGTCATCGGTCCGAGGTTAACCAAGCTGTTTACAAATACGCACGTCAGCTGTCTACTACAATATTTTCGGAACTAAAATGAAAAGCGCTTAGAGACAGACCTCCGGAGAAAGCTCTGAATCTGTCAAATAAAACGATACCTAACTCGATCCAGTTCAATCCGATTTTGTCAGTCATAGAGCCTTTGTCGTAAACAGTGTTTGTGAGTCGCTGCAGCGACACAAAACACTACACAAAGTGTGTTATGTGTCGCTGCAGCGACAAATAACACTTGGAGGGTTAAGTCCACTTATGAGTTGTAGTCGTAAAAGCATGTCTAATACAGATTTTCCACAAGCTTCGCAATTAAATTTACAATTCGTTGACAACCTTTTTAGTTCTGCAGCAAAGTTTGAAATAGATTCTCCGTCTTCCTGTATTTGACTAATAAATGTGTGTTGTAAAGCCAAAATACTTTTTTTAGGATCTAGAAAGTTGTCAAGCAAGGTCACAAGCTCCTCATACTCTTTATTCTTAGATCGCTGTCTAGTGTACATAGGTCATATAGTTTCTGATGTAGAAGAGGTGTCAAGGCATGTAAAAGTGTAAAAGTTTCTAACTTAGGACTAACTTAACTTAGGATAATTTATACCTTTTAAAATAATAAAAAACCTCCAGTCTTCTGGCAAAATTAGAAAATTTTTCCCTTTCATCGTAAGGAGTAAAGCTCAAATTTGAAGTAGGAAGGACTGAAATGGTGTATTAGCTTGTAGATTTTCAGTGATGCAATCAATTTGATTGGGAACAGAGCTATGTTGCATACTTGACTTGGCATATGAAGCATTTGGGCATCCACTATTCTCGTTTTTTTATCAATCAGCATGTTTTCAATACTTTCTCTGTAAGTCAGCTCATTTTCTAAATCTTCTTCTTCTTCTGTATAAGTCGATCTTGTCTTGAAGTAGGTCATACTTTGATTTAATCTCAGCTAACAAATCATCAGCTAACAAATCAAGTTTAGTTTTGATTTCATTGATGGAAAATGTTCCTATGTCCACATACTTCTTTACATTTCCAAGCTGAAACTTGACTGTTCTTCGCAATGATTTAATGTCTTTACTTTATTTACATCTTCTGCTATTTGTTCTAAATCTTCCATTTTCCTCGTCGCCATTTGTTAGATATTTTAAT